AACTGCTTGCTATTTTAATAAGAAAAGTGGCTAAAATTCCGTAAATACTCTGAAGTAGAACGTAAAATATCGGCAAACTCACGAAAGTAGTCAAAAACAAGCTACTGTAATTTTATTGGTTTATTATAGGGTCACGTGTTTCCGAGTTGCAACGTCAACGAACAATGTGTGACCACGAGAAAACGCGCGCGACTCGCGCTTGTTGCAGTTGCAGTCGCCTGCGCGGCTAGAAATCGCATAGTGTGACCAGGGCTTAATACAATTTGTTGTGAAAAACACTACTTATATATGAATAAATAGATTCGTTTTTTTATCACAAAACTTTATTTATGCGAGTACTATTTATTATTGGCAAGAAAAAATTTTGTGGCTCTTTAAAAACTTTGAAATTTTGTAAATTGTAATTTTGGCTCTTCCGACTCAAAAGGTTGCCGACCCCTGCCCTAGACCATTGCTGACTGATTGCCCCTGGAAGTCGGCTTCTTATAGAAACACAGCTTCCCTATCATCAAATGTCACAGCACGCCACTGCAAGATACAGATTGCTTCTGTCATGTTGGTGGAAAGTATAGTCACCCATGCAAGTAGGAATGTTAAAAAGAAGGATTATTTGACGTTGACGCTATTCAAATAACTATTTTGCCAAAATTTACTTGTTTATATGAAACTATGGATAACACTTCTGAAGAGTGCTCTAAAGAATAAATATTACAATGTAAGGGTTTTCTTTTTATAGATATCTGTTACAAATAAGCCTAGAAAATTATGATATTCACTTAAGCAAGCATGTGCTGATATAAAGTATGATCGTAAAGTCCCTCTGTAGTGGACAGGGAAATGAGAGGAGCTTCTTGGAATAAAGTAATGACACGTAGTAAAAAGTTAAACGAGGCCAACGAGAAAGACTTTCTCGTTGCTCTCAACAGTTAGTTATGATGTTAACTCTGGCCAACTGCAGAGGACTTTACGATCAAACTATAATTGTTCACGATGAATGGAATTATGGTGAGATCAAGAAAAACAGCACTGACGACGTAATATAAATTAAATGGTCCAAGTGACATGGAGGATCAGGGGACCTATTCTGAGCTCTTCCGATAAGTCCCTTTAGCGAAAGGCAGTTGACGAACCTAAAAGACATCTCTATTCTGTGCTCCACGTTAAGTGGGTTTCGCTACCGGTAGTCGATCGAGATGTGTGTAGGTTCCATGCTATCGATAGCTATTACGCTTTAACCAATCACAGACGTGGTTTTAGCATTGTCATGTACCAAGCGCTAGTGAAATAGGTTTGTTTTAAAATATCAAAGAAAGGACAACGAAGCCAGCGAACTATCAATATATTGAATAAGTCGCCAGCAGTGGCGTGCTGTCATTGGAAGCGGTGGATGCGCCGCTTCCCTTATATTTTCTAAAAAATAAATACGTATTAATTTTAATTATATGAAAATAATCGCACAATATTTCATTATAACCACATTATGTACCTTATTACAAATTTCTACACTACACGTGAAAAAAAGATAAGATTGCTATTGTATATTCGAATATTAGTGGCGGAGTGGAAGCGCTGTATTGTCAGCATCCAAAAAGCCAGATTCGCGCATGCGCTTTACAGAGCATCAACCTCATTCGGTTAAGCTTGTGGAAGCCTAGGACCTCGGGTGGATGCTACATGTATACCACATCCAACTCTATCAAGGATCGGTTCTGGGCTATTAGCCGCCCTCGCCCGATTATGTGAATCACGAGTAGATTTACAACTTAACCCAACTGATAAGAATTTACTGGTATGTTTTTACGATAGTTCTGTATAGTTGACATGATTTTAATGGATTTTTTTTTATTTTTATTCCGCTCTCCGATTTTATATTACTCACGGATTTCAATGTTAAACCAGTGATATTACGATTTCGTATGTCCCATCTTTAAGGGATGTAGAAAAAAACGTGTACAATTCTTGTATAATGTTAAAAAATTAACTGTTACTTTGGTAGCATCATTTACAACTAAATTTAATGAATGAGAGAGATGCACGAAGTACAGTACAGAAAAAGCTCTAGAATTTATTTTCCTTAAATTTACGATTTATGTACTGATCCGTTTGTCATAAAAATTTGTCTTTCGGCCCAGTCGGTCATAGTGTGAAACAGCCTTTTTTTTAAACTCTTTCCGCCCTGTGGGCACTAAGAGGGCCCCTTTTAGCAAGATTGGCAATAAACTTCAGAGAGTCCAGTAAAGTCTCAACAGCTTGGAGAGCGGGCTCAATTTGATTACTGTATTTTATTATGAAATACAGGGACGATCAGTTAAATAAACAGGCACTATAGTGTATTTCTCTATATTAGCAATTGTGTTATGCAGTTTTGTATAGTGTTATGCTGTTACATATTTATTTTATTTAGTTAGTTAATTATTCAGGTATAATATGCATGTATAGTTTGTATAGTATGTACAGTACTGTATCAATATAGATTGTAATTATTTATGCACGAGCCTGCGAGCACTAGACTGATTCTAAGTCTAAGAAAATTTAAAAAGTTCCTGAACAAATGCCACTATAGAAATTAGAATCATTCGATTCCTCTACTCCTGATGAAGGCCATTCAAACTAGCCAAAAACGTTCGAAAATTTGAATAAAAAAGTTCGACAAGGTTTTGTGTCGAAGTTTGAGTATTAGTTAAGTGCTATTAGAGAAGAATATTATTTCTTTCATAGTCACGTTAATGGATTTCTTTTTCTATGCATTATACAGTCTTATTTAGAAGGTTTGAAAGATACGCCGACCATACTGTGAAAATAATTTTTAATGTGTGGTAACGTTTTATGGAAATGTTAGTAGCTAATGGACGTGTGAATAATAAGGAAGACATAAATCGTAATGTGTGTGGGTAGCCTGAGGTAGGACGAAGTCGTACCTCTTTTTGATAGGCAACAGTTCGGTGAGAACTGCCCACTGGTCAGTGGATGGCTTAGAAAATGCTTTTTCTATCCCGTAAAGTCGGGATTCTTTTGTCAGGTCGAGTGGAGGAGGTGAGAGGGGTCGTCGGTAAAGTGTGAGCGATACTCGAAATAAAGACGACTTTTAACAACAAAACAACATTTATTGAGACGGTAACATAACTAACATAAATACATTGAGCTTATCTCGAGCGGACACGCGGGAGTGGAGGGAAACGCGCCGAGAGAGAGTGTACATTAATGGGTATCATACCTCTACGATTTCGGATCGGACGGTCGGACGTTTTCTAACCGGATCGGACAAGTTGTCTTGAGGAACGGACGGCGGCGATGAGGATCGGCACGGGGTTTCCCCGATCATGAACGGTGATGATGGACCGTGTTCACGGACAGCGACGACGGACCTCCTTTTCTCGTCATCACCCCTCTTTTATCCCTTTCGTCACGTTACTGGGTTTCACCAATCGCCGATTTTTAGGATAAGTTCCTCGTGAATCATTTTTCGGTTTCCCGAGAGATAGGAAACGGCTCCGTGGGAAGGAAATGTATATATCCTTTTTCGTAAAATTTCGAAAAATGAAGTTTTTCTTTGTTTAACTTTAATAAAAATATTTAATTTAATTGGAGCTCTTTTATTTAATTTTATTTTATTCGGTCCGATCCTCACATTACTTCGGCCTTTCTAAAATCGTACTTGTTCTTTAAGGAGCAAGTTCGATTTTGAATTTGGGTAAAAGGGGTACAATTCACTCTCTCTGTAATAATATTAACAATCTCTGGGTTCCGACACTTAAGTATTTTGATTCATTTTAACAAACAAACAAAAATTCTATAACATGTTAGAATATAAGTGAACGTCTTCGGTTAGTGAACCGAGAGGAAGTGTAGTTCCTCTTCCGTTAGTTGTGTAGATACCCGCCTAGTTGATTGACGTTTTTCAGCTCCTGAGTACGAGGGTAACAGTTCAAAGTTCGATGCGGGCCACGTGTATCTGTTAGGAGTTCTTGATCTTGTTTGCTCGTGCTTCTCTGGAAGATATTGTAATATGGGAGTTACGGATGTAACTTGGTTGGACTATTGGAGAAGTTTCCTGTTGGTTGATACCACTTTGTGATACGTATTGGGATTAAGATTTTATGAGATCGTCGGCACTCAAGATCGGTTGAACGGTTGCAGTGTTCGGTGAGTTCGAAGTCTTCCGGGAAGAGTGAGGAAGTTGCACTGTTCTTGTCAGAGAGGAAAAAAAATTAGTAAGAAGTTATCTTGCTTATAGGTTATTCCCTGGATAAGAATCGAGGTATGTATTTTCACATATAAATGGTTGATGGACTCTCTCTCGGAAATGTNCTGTTTTTTAAAATATATTTATCAATGCTTTAAATGTCTAAAAAAGGAAATTAATGAAAAATTTACCAAAAAATTTATTATTACAAATTTCTATTTCAAAAGAAATTATTCAACTTAATGTATTATTTACATAAATTTAACTTAAATTAAACGACCTCTCACTACACCGGGATATAGTTAATTACATATTCTGAACCAATTAGTGTGTAGATGATGAAAACAAACAAAAATGAATGCTTTTGAACGCCTTCTGAGTCCATCAGGTTTTTTAATGTTTCCTTGATGGATCTTCATTTTGGAATAAAATTCAAACTAGAGTTTGAATATAAGTTTAAAAAAACCTGATGAAGAACTCAGGAAGAGTTCAAAAACATTTATTTTTGTTTGTTTTTGTCATCTACACATCTTAATTGGTTCAGAATACGTGATTAACTTAAATAAAAATCAAAAGTATCCAAAATTTATTTATTTTTATTCTGATTGAAAAGCATTGGTATAAAACTAAACATAGAGGACATTATTTACTTGATGATTTACATCTTTACTCTATCACTTCAGATGAATCAATGTACATAAATTAGATGCTATAGTAAAATGAGACTATAATATTAATATTTGTTCTAAATTCTTTAAGGATGGTTTATAGTTTAACAGCAAGATTTTTCAATATGGCTAGCCTTGACTGGAATTGACAAATCAGAATAATACTTTATTTTGAAACTGCTTGGTCAGTGTCGGAATCATACTTCAAAAAGAGCAATGAAAAACAAAACAAAAAAAATAATTCAATATAAGAAATTTTATGAAAAATAGATTATTTTAATAATAGGACTTCCTATTGAGATGCAATTAATAATATAGTAATAAATTTTATGGCAATATTATTCTTATACTAGCTTTTTATTAGATATAGTCATTGCAAAGGGTGTCATAAATGCAAAAGTTTAAATACATATAGACAACCAATCCTGAATTATTCTAATTATCAAATTATAAGTCCAGATTAACTATTGAGCTTAAACATGGATAATTTATTTTATAGTTATTTGGAGTAAAGATTGCAAATTATATGGTATCTATGAATTTAATTAGTCAAGTTTTAGTTGAAATAGTTAAATCTTGTCTTATTCTAGAAGATTTTTGTATTTATTAAATGATAAATATTTAACATCTTTCACTGTTTTTATGAAAAAATTTTAAATGCCACAATGATTTTTCTACAGTATACTGCTCAAGTAATTTCTTTTATATACAGCATCATTTTAGTACTTGCATCTCAATGGGAACATTTGGATGTTAAAATATTTTATTTATCTTTTATACTTATTCTTAATTGTAATATATTTTATCTTAAATTATTTTTCAAACAACTCTATATAACTATATCTTTTAAAGATCCATGAAAATGAGTTTGGTTCATTCTGTTATCCAATTTGTTGTTAAAGTATGTTTGAAACTTCCACAATAAAATTATAAATTTGTTATGACTTTTATAAATGTCATACATATAAATTACAATCTATCTCAAAATTATTTTTGAAGACAAATTAAAATTTATTATTGACATTATCTTTTAAATACTCAAACATGTAATAAGTATTTTTTTAATTTTAACTTTTTTAAAAATAAATTGCATACTTGTTTTTAATATTTCAGCTGTAAGCATGTGCAAACCCAATGAATTTCAGTGCCTCAACTTTGTGTGCATTATAGAAAGCTTCTATTGTGATGGTGATAATGATTGTGGAGATAATTCAGATGAACCTGAATATTGTGGTAAGATCATTTATTTATTAAATAAAAAAATAAATACAAAATATTATTAATTTTATATCTTAGTTAAATTAAAGCATCAGTTCATATTGTGGGTAGCCTGAGGTAGGACGGAGTCGTGCCTCGTTTTGATAGGCAACAGTTGGGTGAGAACTGCCCACTGGTCAGTGGATGGCTTAGAAAATGCTTTTTCTATCCCGGAAAGTCGGGACTCTTTTGTCAGGTCGAGTGGAGGAGGTGAGAGGGGTCGTCGGTAAAGTGTGAGCGATACTCGAAATAAAGACGACCTTTAACAACAAAACAACATTTATTGAGACGATAACATAACTAACATAAATATATTGAGCTTATCTCGAGCGGACACGCGGAAGTGGAGGGACACGCGCAGAGAGAGTTTACATTACTGGGTATCATACCTCTACGATGTGGGATCGGAGCGTCGGACGTTTTCTAACCGGATCGGACAAGTTGTCTTGAGGAACGGACGGCGGCGATGAGGATCAGCACGGGGTTTCCCCGATCATGAACGGTGATGATGGACCGTGTTCACGGACAGCGACGACGGACCTCCTTTTCTCGTCATCACCCCTCTTTTATCCCTTTCGTCACGTTACTGGGTTTCACCAATCGCCGATTTTTAGGATAAGTTCCTCGTGAATCATTTTTCGGTTTCCCGAGAGATAGGAAACGGCTCCGTGGGAAGGAAATGTATATATCCTTTTTCGTAAAATTTCGAAAAATGAAGTTTTCTTTGTTTAACTTTAATAAAGATATTTAATTTAATTGGAGCTCCTTTATTGAATTTTATTTTATTCGGTCCGACCCTCACAT